TTTTGGATACAAGGCCAAGGAGTGAAAGTCCAATACTTGGAAGCAAAGATGAAGCAGTTTCGATTACACGGAAGCGATCTCTTGAGACCAATGACGAAGAAAGTTCGAGTAGGAAACGACCTTTTGTGATAATTAGTGGAAATACTTCACGAGAAAGAAAATCCGAGCCTTCAGGTCCTAGTCTAGTGATCCAACAACACCGACTTAATGCTGCACTTGGAATTCACAGAAATCACAATGAAAACCTCTCCACCAATATGAAGCAAAAAACCCCAATCCTTTTCAATCCATCCAATGGTCAAATTACTACTACATCTACATCTGGCTCCATGATGTCGAATTATGGTCGTGGTGTTGATACATCCAGGGTTAGTTCTTTCGTACCTGACAATCCCAATCTCACATCTCTCACTTCTTCCCGGGATTCTCATTCACCCCATTCACTTCATCCACTTCATCCACTTCATCCACAAGAAACTTGTAGTGACTTCAACAGATTTTACCGGGGGTGCGATAATGGCGAATGCAAGAAATTACATGCATGTCATATTTGTAGGGGGAATCATTCTGCTTTATACCATTTTAATCTCCAACCAATAGAAATATGAATAGAAATATAAATACAATGAAGCCAGCCAAATGTCTCACCCACCGAGAAAATGTGATGTGAGCTACCTAGGTGAGACAGACAGATATGAGGTGGCTTGTAAAGTTCGCAACTCGATTCAATATTGGATGGCGGGAGAGAGAAAAGAAAGAAATATAATATAAATATAATATATCACATGTTTTCGAGACATTGGTCCGTGCAAAATCGCGTCTCCCTCGTTGAGCCCCTAGTCCTAGTTCTCCCCCTCAATTTCACTCTGAAGCCTTGTAACTATTCTAATTCGGTTGAGACTTCACTTATCCAACTATTTTCATATTTCTGGATATACTATACTCTTCAGACTTTATATCAACTTACTGATATACTATACTCTTCAGACTTTACGTCAACTTACTGATATACTATACTCTTCATACTTTACATCAACTTACTGATGATCGTATTCTCGAGAGAAATCAATCTAATTATTCCTTCACAATGTCTTCAAGCGAGGCAAACGACAGGAATGAATGGCCCATTACTCCAGAGTAAGTATTCAAACCTCTCCTCATATCCAATTCTCTGCTAATGCCTTGTAGCATTCTAGGAATTGAAACTGCGACGATTTGCAATAAGGGAATCAAAGAACAAGAAATCACCTTTCATACCAAACCATTAACTCGACTTTCTCCTAAATTTGCCCAGTTTTGTCGCAGGAAGAAACAACCTGATGGTCGATTCACTCTCATATGCGCTCAAAATAAGTATGATGCCTTTACATGTATGGCTCTTTATGCATATCATGGAAAGGTACCTACTCCACCAAAGGAGATTGATTCGAATTATACCCAACGATTACGATGGATTTATTATGTGGCTGAGGAATTTGCACTTCACGATCTGATGAACAAGACAATTGATGCTCTACGAGTTTATGACTTCAAACACAAGTTGGAGATTCATATTCATGTTGAAGAGATATATAAGAATACATCCAAAGGGAGTTTATTGAGATGGTATTCGGCAGCATCAGCAGCTTGGTCTTGGGGTCGAGAAACCGGACCGGCAACTTCATCACAAAGGGATAATCGGAAGAAATTTATCTCTTCGGGCAGAGGCAACCCAGATATCTTTGCCGATTTTCACCTGGTTGATCTCTTCCATAGGGATCATATTAGGGGGTTTGATACTGACTGGCGTGATGTTCATGATTCTGGATTGCCAGTTTGCGCTTTTCACTGCCATGCACCAGGAGAAACTTGTCATCGTACGGGGATTACCGAACCGGCGGAAGTTGAAGAACATATTTCGAGGATTTTCGATGGGGTTGAGGATACGGTACTATTGGATCGATCACAAATTATTGATGCTCCTTCCGATCAGGATGTACGTTTGAGTGAACACCCGAGTACCCCGCCCAAGTCTCCCGAAACAGATATTCATCAGATGGAAGATTCAAACATACGATCTGCAAATGCAGAAAACATTACTCCTCCATTATTGGGCTCTGGGCATGAAAACACTCCTCCGAGTGAGAATCAATCACGTGGAGCAACCAATGGAGGCCATGAGATGAGAACAAGTCAATTGATTACAGTGGCATCCAACGCAAGAGACGGAGAAGTTGCAAAGCCATCTCCAGCAATTCCTCTAGCTCCAATCAGAAATCCACCATCAACAAAGGTTCTTCCACCAGAAAATCGAAGAATTGATCTTTCTCACAAAAGTGATTTGGAAAATTTCAAAAATGAAACTCTAACCGAAGATCTTTATGGTACTTCCGACGTCGATATGGATCGTGAGGATTCAAATACCCCTATGAAACCTCCACAGCAAGCCGTAGGTTCCACTACATATGATGAACAACTTGCAAATGCGTGGGGAGTACCATTATCATCATTACCACCGAAAAAGACTCGAATTGTACCTGGTACTGTGGTTACTGATGTTAAGATTGGGGATGCTAAACGTTCTCGAGGCAAACGTTCTGTTCCCGATATTACCGACAGCCTCGGTTTTGAAAAAGACAGAAATCATGATGAATATCCAAAGATGGGCACGAAGAAGAGGAAAACTATTCCCGGTGAAGATGAAAACAATCCAGATTCCAACCTCATCATTACCAAGAAGTCAAAGGCGGCTCATGTAGGAACTCAGGCGTTCATCAAAGCTCCTGAATCAAAGAAAATTTCTGCGGAGATACCTTCCGAAATACAAGATTCTGAAACCGAGTCATCGGAAGAAGATAGTTCGGATCATAGCTCGAGCGATGAAGATAATGATGAAGAGGAAGAGGAAGAGGAAGAAGAGGAGGAAGATGATGACGATGCTATGATTGATGAATATTCCTCAGAAGAAGAAGAAGAAGAAGAAGAAGAAAGTTCATACGAAGAAGAAGAATCGATATCTCACCGTGAAATAATACCCGAAGATCATGAATCCAGCTCTAGCTCATCCCCCGAACCCGAACCCGAACCCGGAGCAGAATCAGAAGCATTCCACGATTCCGGCATCCATTCCCACACATCTTCCAAAACCACCTCCACATCCCTCCTCACCCACTCTCAACCCGCACCCATCAATCCCCTCGTAAGTGCATGCCACACCCGCAGCACCGCCGGCATCGCACCACTAAGACCAGGCTATTGCCTCATCTACAATTACAAAGGACGATGCAACAAAGCCTGCGGACTGCAACACCTCTGTCTGAAATGCGATCTCCAACACTCCTCGCTGCACCACGAGAAATACCAGCCGAATTTCCGCGCCACGAACATCGATGCATCGATCGAGACGTGTCCGGATTGGAACGCGGGGCGCTGCGCGGTTCGCGTGACGAATTGTACCTTGAGACATGTGTGTGGGGTGTGTTTGGGTGGTCATCGGAGTATTTATCATGAGCATGGGTTTGAGGATGATTTGGATCGGGAATTGGATCGTGGATATGGGGGAAGGGAAGTGACATTTTCAAATCGTCATCGTACGTTAATGGAATCGAAATCGAAAGCGAAAGCGAGCCATTTCCACCTCGAAGGTCGTCTCGATCACCACCATGACCATGACCATCACCATAGCCAACACCAACATATCCCCAGATCCACACCCTCCAATTCCAATGTCAATTCCAATACCAATTCCAATGCCAATTGGTCCTCCCTCTCACACTCCCTCTCCCTCTCACACCCAAATAACCCCAACCCCAACCCCCCATCAACCCACCCATCATCCCAAAAACCCCCCAACCCCACAAACCATCCCCATCCCCATCCCCATCCCCAAACATCCACCTCAACCTCAACCTCCACAAACCCCAACCCCTACACCTCCTGCCCAAACTGGCAAAGAGGAACATGTATCCGCAAGAGAACCAGATGCCAATTACCGCATATCTGTGAGCGGTGTGGGCAGCTGACTCATCGTACCGCCAAACATGATATGTATATGAGTAAGACGGCTCCGAGGGGGTAGGGTTGGGGGGTTGGGGG